ACACAGTAGGAGAGAACAAATATTACTTGGCTATTTAAAAAGTCTCCAAACATGTTATATATATTTGTATCTGTTATAGTAAAAAGTATTCATAGAATTTTTTCTTCTTTTTTTTTTCTTTTTTTGTAAAACTTTTCGATTGTATTCTCTATATCATACAAATAACAAGACTAAGAGCTTTCTGTGCTATACGAAAGCATCTGCCCAATCGCCAAATAAACTGTCAAAGAAATAAAACTCCTTCGAAGAATGTCATTAAGTCTAGGCTTTACCCTTCATCTTCCTCCGTTTCCAAGCCTCCCTCAGCAACCTCTTCTCCTTCCCACCAGGACTATTGTAACTCCACCCATCTTACTCTGAAGAAGTATTATCCACTCCTATCCTCACATCCTCCCCTGACTCCTCCAACTACTCCTCTGACCCAGAACCCCCACCTAATGCTGTAACCAGGTCCACCACCTTCCTCTCAATCCTCCCTAGGTGATCAGCCAGACATGTATTCTGAGACACTATCCTTACCAATCATCCTCATCTCCCCCTTGACCTTGGCCATCTTCCTCTCCTTTACCGCAGGTCGAAATCCCATAAACTGCCAAATTGAACACCACCTTCCGATCACCCACATTCCTGTCCGGAACAACGGTCCAAGCAGATCCTCCCCACTCACCATCGCCACTACCGTAGAGAATGTCTTACTCAACTCCTTCTTCCTCTCCTGCTCCCTATCACCCACCCACCAGTGCAACTCCTCATAAACCACACTCCCCATCCTCTCCAACTCCCCCAATACCACCCCGATACTACCCTCCTATAACACCCCCCACCTTTACTGCCATGACAGGCCCATTAACCCTCAATCCTTCAGGGTCAACCAGCCCGCCCTCCTTCCTCCTTGTACCATCCTCCACAGCCATCTCCTCCACCATCCTCCTCCTTCCTCCTTGTACCATCCTCCACAGCCATCTCCTCCACCATCCTCCTCCTTCCAGCACCAGACACTGGAGTCCTGGGCCCCAACTCCACATGCGTAATCCTCTTCTTTGACGTGAACAGTTCCATCTCTTTAACCCAACCTCACAGCTGGACATCCTTCTCTTCCAACCTCCTCTCCAACTCCTCAACTCGCCTCTCCAACTCGCCTATCCTATCCTTGTAAAGGTGGTTCTCACATACCAGGCTGTTGACATGTTGAGAGCTAGACATTACAAAACATAAATGTAGCAAAACTAAATTCCCTCGCAGTGGCATGATTGGTCGAAAACCAATACCATGGTTTGTGCAACAAGTAATAAAATCAATCGGTGTGGTCGTAATGGTAACGGAGCATGTATTCGGTGACTTTTTAAATTGCCGAGTAGTTAGCCTATGTCGACGGGGTTGTAAGAGGCATTACGGGATATCTCCTACTCATAGCGCACCTTTATATTCATTGGTGCTCTAGACGGATGCGTGGCGGAGCAGCAAAGTTCCATGATTCGCTGAGACAAATTCTACAACAGTCCCCCAGGTACCCCGGACATCATAAAGAATTTCGGTGGTTTTGGAAATGTAAGTGGGGAGCACGGGTCCTGGCAAAGATATCTAAAGTTATGAGCTGACAGGTCTGTGTCTAGGTTCCTACTGGTATCTATAAACATCAAGGCGCCCCCACAGGAGACGGCAATTTATGGGGCGCGTGAGAAGCTTAACAGGATGACAAATGAATTGGGCTTGGAATATGGAAAGACTGGGGATCGCCACTCTGGTATGGACTTCACATTCGGAGCCCCCCGTTTAACGTGGGTGAGATATGTCACCCACGCCCTAGCGGTTGGGATAAGATCAAAGGGTATTAATTCCTAAAGTGTGCCTCTAATCCGGACAATGTTAGGCTATTGCTAAGGACTTGTCGCTGTCGATAAAGGGTCCTCGACTATTACATTGGCCCATTTCACCTTCAAAGAGTATCTCCCAGGCCATTCCGGCTTGTTTGATAGAGCTCACTCGAGAATAGCGGAAAAAAACTGTTTGACTTATCACAGCTTCTAGACCATTAAGTGTCTTTCGCCAGCCCCTATTGTGAACCCCAGAGACATACATCCTTCTTGGGATATTCCTCTTTTATATTGGGGAACCCATATGTGAATGGAGCTCTCAGATCGCTGGGGAAATCTTATGCTAGTGCTTCTTGGGCAATAAGATAATCGCATATCTGCCAAATTTCTTTGGGAGTCAATCAACAACTGGTTTCTTAGTAGCCACGCCAATTCTCGCAAACCATTTTTCTGCGCTAAACTGTATTTTATATTTTGGCATTGCTGAAGCTGCTATCGATTTGATAAGGATGAATCGATTGGATGTGAGCCCAAGAGATGGTACTGGTCTGACGTTGCTCATGTGGGCTACGAGGTATTGATGTGAAGAAGTAGCAGAATTGATTACTCTTGCAACAGATGTATACCGAATCTGATGTGCTGGGAAAAACAAAAGTCGCCAGGAACCGCTCCCGCAAGCTGCTGGGAATGGGCGTGATGGAGTGGCGAAGCTACTATTGGGACGGAAGGGCGTCGACCCCTATATGCCAGACAATAGTGGCCAAGCACGACTCTCGTGGGCTACCAGGAGTGGGCAACGATGGAGTAGCGAAAGCTTCGATTAGAACGGGAAGATGTTGGCCCCGATTGACCGGATAATCGCTGCTAAACACCATTCTGGGTGTCTTGAAATAGACTGCGGGATACTATGCAGAAGGTTCCCAGAGATGTGACCTCTCTTGAGATCTTCGAACCTGGCCATGTGTCCTTTTTGCAAAGTTACGACCGTTCTCACTCCCCTCTCATTCGGCCCCCCAGAGTGGTGAGAGTGCTAAGTAGGTGTGTGGAATTTATGCCGCCTGGTCTGAGATATAATATAAAGTACGTTCACTTCTTTTGGCTTCCCTTGTACTTTTTCCTGGCATTTCGGGGACCAAAGTTGGAGGTTTTCACGGACAAGCCTCACCTTTTACTACGTGTACTCTTGTACTGTTTTATTCCCCTACTTACTAACAGAACGAATTTTGGGCTGGAGTGTAGCGTATAGTTTCATGGGATTATTTTATTTGGGGACATAGCAATGTACAATGAAAGGGCAAATTTAACGAACGTTCTGTGATGGAAGATCTATCTAGATCTGTTTGCGCCCCTTTCTTCTGCCTTCTAATAGTGAAGCTTACCTGGAATACCATGTGGAATGGGCAGAAGAAAGTAGGAACGAAAAAGGGCAGAAATCGAGCCTGAAAATGTCTGACTCGGCGAGGAATACAGGGGAAGGTTTTCTGTAAGAGCTCTATGATGCATCATCCGGGTTTGGGGTTATTGGGCCACAGGTGCAAGACCGACTACAAATGGAGCAAATTTTTTCCAACTCCCTTGAGCTGTCAAGGAGCGTGCTAATATGCATGTATTTATGTATGGGACCTTTTTATACGGATGGTCGTCCGTGTGTATCACATAATATAAGAAAAGATATATAGACCCAAGTTATAGCAGTTCAGTAGAGTCTGATGCAATGAAGCTATCAATTATACTTATACTATAATTGAAACTCTTATTTATTTAGTCTTCCCTTCATTCTGGAGGCATATGGAATCTTCGGGTGCCGTACTCGCGCGGCCGAATTGAAGCCGGACACCATCATGGAGTAGTGATATGAAGCCCCTATGTGATTAGAGGACATAAGTCACTTTCGCACTACGCTAGGACACAACACAATCGTAAATAGTAACTCAATTTTATTGCCATTTATTTATATCCACTTATACAGGCATCTAGGGGGGTTGAGTACAAAGTGATATCGAGGTCTCAGTTTTCGGCAACATTGGGGCGGGGGGTTGTCTGTCCTCGAACGATGTCTATTTTTCGTCAAAACCCGGTCACGAGAACGGATTGCTGAATGAGAACACGTTTGGATTTTGAACCTTGCAAACAAAGGGGGAGTCTGTTCAACTTCTCGGGATTAGCATCCAGATGTGTCAACCGTAAACACAATTGAATAATGATAACGCGAAGAAGTGTGGATAGAGGGGAAGATGATCAGACAAAGTTTTGTTAAGGTAGCGGTTGTTTTTCATCATTGTCGAGTGCCAGCCAGAACGCTAGCAAACGAACTAAAGCCAAATGCCTGATGGTCATCATATCATACTGGAGGGGGTTTTTGGTGCTGGATTTGTTTTTTTGTTTTTTGCGTAAAGAGAAGGGATCAAATGGAGGGGGGTTATAAATACCTTCCGATTAATTAGTTCTCCATAGCTGGTGCTTTCTTTGTTGTATGTTTTGTCGTCGAGAGAGATGAATGAGTGTAAAGGTTCTGAAGTTATCTTCTTTGTCCTTGGAGAGAGAGAAAACTTTTCTGCCAAGACAACTCTTTTACTAGCCGCTAGAAAGAAGGGGAAAAAAGAAGGAACCCTAAACCCTCCCCCACCTGCCACCTTCAGGATGGGTGTTCTCAAATTGCACATGCGTGTGCGTAATAACTTGACAAAACGATTGGCCGGCGGACTATGGTGGGGGAATTCTTTAACCGGAACACTTCCGACCAAATAATGTCTAACCTCAAACTGCCCAAGCCTCCTCAACAACAATTTTCATTCCTAGTTTTCTCTCTACTCTTTGATAGACAATAAGCTGGAGATTCACCAAGTAGAAAGGCACTTTAAAAGTATCAAATTTTGGGTGAGCTATGGGAGTTTAAAGTGGGACCAGAATGTCACAGCCCGTTATCCGCTGATAGAGTTACTGAAAAGCAAGTTAATTTAGAAAAGAATGCAGAATTAATTGAAAGTTAACCACATTGGGATAATGGTGAATATGTACTTGTAATACAAAGCAAAATGAATGTCGTCAGTGCTTACCTGTGAGGTTTCCCCCACCATAAATCGAAGGCGCACGCCAAGGAGCATCAGAGTTTTTGCCCAGCCGTCCCCACCCGATTGGTTATTAGCCGCCACCCCTAACATCTTCTCCCAACGCCCTCGCCTTCACAACTAACTTGCTGGCTTGCTGGGAGGATTTTGCTTGCCTGCGTGATTCCTGCTTCTTTCCCTCCATTCCGTTGACAGCTCATTCCCCTTGAAAAAAACTGGTACAACCCCCTCAATTGCTTTACGATTGTCTTTCCTCTCCCCATGTGCTCTCGCCCTCTCGCCTTTTTGCCGTTCGTGAAGAGATAGAGAAGGGAAGGAATAAAAAATCGCTCAATTTTCACACACTATACCAGAGATAAAAAATCCACCATGCGATTCGGAAAAACTCTTCAAGCGTCGATTCACCCTCCGTGGCGTGAACATTATATCGACTATGCGAAGATCAAGAAACTTCTCCGCGAAGGGGACGATTCGGATTCCGAGCGGACTCCAGCCTCGAGAGCGGAACAGATGGAGGGATGGACAGAGAACGATGAGTCGGAATTCGTGCATGAACTCGTCAACATCCAGCTCGAGAAGGTGAATAATTTCCAACGTGGGATGAACGAGCAACTCAAGTCCCGGACGGCAAAATGCGAGGCTCGACTCGAGCAACTTGTTGCTGCCACGCCGTCTAGGGGGCCCGCGTCTTCTCTCAATCCCGCCAGGGAACATATTGGTGGTGAGGAGAGGCAGAAGACGCTAACGCAGGTTTTGGAGGATCTTGATGGCATCACATCTGATATTAATGAGCTTGAGAAATTCTCGCGTGTAAACTTTACCGGGTTCTTGAAGGCTGCGAAGAAGCATGATCGGAGGTCCCGAGGAGGATCCGCTGCCAAAGATAAGGGAAAAGGAAAGGGAAGGGGTGGAACAAATGGGGATTATAAGGTTCGCCCGTTACTGCAGGTGAGGTTGAGTGCGTTGGAGTTCAACAGGGAAGACTACAGTCCGCTGTTGTACAGGTAGGTCAATAATTTCCTTGGGTTTGTTGGCTGTCGTGAGAAGAGATTTGGGCCGCTATAAAGAACGTTACTTATATTGGTTTAGACTGTCGGCTATGTATGCCTTCGTGCGTGAGAACATCGATAGAGACGCCAATGATCATGGTCAGACCCGGACTTCATCTGTCGGCTCTGGTCCTCAACCCCAAGGCAGTCGAAAGTATATATCGCACAAATGTTTGTTTCTCCTTCCATCAGAGCCAGTTTCCCAATTTACTAAACACGTCCGACCCCCACATAGTCTGGATTCATCCCGACAATATTCTAGAAGTGAAAACGTTTATTCTTCGTCGCCTTCCCGTCTTAATCTATAACCCTCAACCCTCTAAAGAAGTTGATGCCAGTCGCCGTGATCCTACTATCAACTCCGTCTATTTTGATAATCCTCAATTCTTCTTGTATCATGACAAGCTTTCCAAAGCTCCTGAGGCCGCGTCCTTGCGCTTGCGGTGGTACGGGCGCCTTTCAGACAAGCCTGACATTCTGCTTGAGCGTAAGACTATGCGTGACTCCGACTCTGAAGGTGCCGTCGAGGAACGAATCACTTTGAAAGAGAAATATGTGATGGACTTCATCAATGGGAATTACGCTATGGAGAAAACCGTTCAGAAGATGAAGGATCGCCCTCTCAAGAACGGCGAGGATGTGAACAAGTACGAAGCTTTGGTGCAGTCGTTGCAAGATTTCATTAAGGAGAAGAAATTGGAGCCAATGCTGAGAGCGGTATACACACGCACAGCATTTCAGATTCCGGGCGACGACAGGGTTAGGGTTTCGCTAGACACCGACCTTGCATTGATTAGGGATGATTGTTTAGACGAAGACAGGCCGTGTAGGGATCCAGAGGAATGGCACAGGAGGGATATTGACGATGCTGAAATGGAGTATCCATTCTCTACCCTGAGAAAGGGCGAGATCTCGAGGTTCCCATACGCGCTTTTAGAAATCAAGGTGCTCGAATCCGGGCTTCACGGAAGGAGTAAGGAGTGGGTTAACGATTTGATGAATTCTCACCTGGTCAAGGAAGCCCCTAGGTTCAGTAAGTTTGTTCACGGTATCTCTGTGCTTTTCGACGACCACGTCAGTAGTTTCCCCTTCTGGCTGGGTGAATTAGGCACGAAGGACATCCGGCAGGACCCTAAACAGGCCTGGGAGGTTGAGCAACAGAAGGTCAAGAAGCAAATTGAGGATGAAACTATTGTAGGAAGTTTCAGGCCAGGTTCTAGGGATTTCGGTGGGAGGTCTGCCCCGTTCGCCACCACTCCAAACAGGTATGGGGTTACACCCCCGATCCCCGAGCGGGGATTCCCGGCCGCCCCCCAGGGCGAGGGCGCAAAGAAAGCGAGCGGATCTGACGAGCAATCGTCTGACAACGACAAGGACTCTGAAGATGATGATAGTGACACGGAAGATCTCGCAGAAGTTTCGCATAGTGTTGCAACAGTCCCCGGGCTTCGAAACCTTTTCCCGACCTTCTCGACGTCTCGGTATGGCCGCGCTCATCGGAAACCGAGTATACCTGTCAAACTGCCGCCTGGTGTGCAGAAGCCCGGCATCCTAATCATGCACTCAGGCCCTGTGCAGGTCGAGGCAAAGGTATGGCTTGCTAACCAACGCACGTTCTTGAAGTGGCAACACGTTTCTGTGCTTCTGGCTTCATTGAGTTTGGGTCTTTACAATGCCGCCGGGAAACACAACTATATTGCTCAATGGCTCGCAGTTGTTTACACCGCCATCGCGATCTTTGCTGCTGGCTGGGGTTATACCATGTATATGTGGAGATCGAGGCTTATTAGAGAAAGAAGTGGGAAGGACTTTGATAATGTTTTGGGGCCGGTTGTGGTTTGCATTGCCCTCGCCGTTGCGCTTGCTGTGAACTTTGCGTTCCAGGTACGTTCGCTTTCTTTTTTTCCCTCTTCCCCGTGATATTTTGTGAGCAAGGACTAACTCCTTTTTTCAGTATCGGAACATGAAGGAAAGGAAGGGACATGGCCGCCATCCGCATTCGCTCACCACTGCGATCCCGGAGATATTCAATGTCAGCATCGACAAGGAGCAATTCGTGGGATTGGTTCAGCAGTGAAGAGAGCATTGGCTATCAATAATTCTAATGGGGAAGAGAAAAAAATTGTTGTACGATTAGATGGATGGATTTGATGTTACCTACCTACTGGGAGGCAGCGTCGTGTTTCTTTGTTTGTCATGTTTTGGCTGGACTAACTTGAGTTACCTAGCGGCGAGTTTTGAATCGTGCAGTGATATCCTTGTTTTTGTTTTCTGAAGGTTTTTTCTTCTCCCTTTTCTTCACTATTATTGATGTCATGAGGGGGGAAGAGGAGGTGCGAATAAGAGAACGAGAAACTGTAGCGTTAATGGGGAAATTTTGAATGACTTTTTGATTTTAAAAGATTTTTGACTTTTTGGCCGTTTTTGACTCGCTATTGCCAGTACGGTAGAGCACAATGCAGGATCCTTGGAGTATTATCAACCTATCGCTTATCATACCAGTAGCTTACCTACTGTCTTTCAATCTACCCGAAAAAGAGTTAAATATGACAATGTAATGCAAGATTCTTACTCCTCAACCCCCCTCCGTTCTCCATTTATAGAAAACTCGCAGTGCAGTATCAGCCCATGGTATGCACCACAAACGCAGCCCAGCCAATCACTCAAACTCCTCCCCCACCCCTCTCCCACTACAGCATTACTAACGCGCCTACGCCGCTAAACTCCCGGTATAAGCGCCAACCACAACCTCTCTCTCCCCCTTCCCTCCAAAAGCACCACCAAGCCACGAATCTCCATCATTACGAGCAAATATCCAGGGTTCGATTTTCACCATACGATACAAATACCCCGAGCAACAACGAACGGTAAACCTGCTACCCGTCAGGGCGAGCTCAGGGATAACTAATGCGATATTCCTCCAAGTGACAATGTTACCCCGTGAGGTCTCCAGGCTGTTGTGTGAGGTTTCTATAGTTGCCCGGCTCAGGGCGAGTGGTCGGTCTATCGTAGATTCTTAAGTTACCGTGGTACGGTAAGTACTTGCACCGATCCCGATACCGCGATCTAACTTGGGTGTCGAGATGAGTTGCTGGCAATGTGCTCCTTTCCCCGTGTCCCCACCCCGTGTTATGCATGCGTGGATAAACCCCCAAAGATATAATCAGCAATCAAAAATTCTTTCGTCAAATGTGGTCCTTCTCCTTTTCCCTACACTCTTTAGCGAACGCTTATATCATAATTCGGTGTATAATACCGGTAAGTGCTTATTACAATCGTTTACGAGTAGCTAGTTGGCGTTCGATAGGGCGAGCTGGGTGCGACGTAGCGTACCGACTGCATGGGAGAATAAATGCACCTCGCGCCTCCTTACTTACTGTACCCGTCCCAGACCAGAAGTCACTCGAGTAGAGTACCCGGAAACAGGGGGATTGTCATGGTAGAGAAAAATAGAAAAAATAGAAAAAAAAATAGAAAAAAAAATAGAAAAAAAAACTTGTTGCGTTATCCGAGCGGAGGGCCAATAAGGAGATATACCTCGCCCCCGCACCGCTCGGCCCGGCACTATCGTCCAGTGTTTGCGCTGGCCAGAATTTTTTGCGCTTCGGCCTTCCTGTTTCCCCCCCCTTAGCCTGCAGGCCGGCCGGTTGTGGACGTGGAAGGTCGGCTATCATACTCGTAATTCTCTGACGTTTGTGAACGCAGCCGGGGTCCCGCATATGCAGCCGAGCAAGTATGAATGCTATGCATTGGATCCGAATATGAGTACCTTTTTGAGGCGTGATATTGTTTTTGGTTGAGAGTGGTTCGGGGAGGGGAACTTTGCGAGTACTTTACTTGGGTAACTTGTTTCTTTTTTTTCAATTTTATGCTGATATCGTTGGACCTATTATATCTGGCATAAGAGAGTATATGCGGAACCCAGTTGTGTTCGCAAAAAAGCGTCAGGAAATTTACTAGTAGTGCTTGCTTCTGAAGTTACGGAATTCTTTCTTTTGAGTTGAATCCATAGCGAAGGGACCTTGTGGAGGTGGGGGGTTCGGGGAGTTCCGTACGCGCAAGTATGATATGATAATGGGAGTGGATTCATGTCCAGTAAAGCCCCCTTGGCCTTTTGAGCAAGGGGGGAGGAGGGGTGGAGGGGTGGAGGACAAAGAGCAATAGTGAGTCATTTGGAGTTGACCCGCTTTGGGAAGGATTGTTGTTGCGTGATCGTAATAGCTGTGGGCAAGGGAAAGGGGTTGATGGTAGTGTAGTTTGTACAGCATGGATAATCACTCGGTCATCGGTATCATTTTTTCCCCTGTGGGAAACGATGTCCAGAGAGAAGATCCGGGGGGTCTTGGGGTGAGGGGGAAGGGGATATTGGTCTTCAGTGTCTATTCGTATACACTATTGTAAACTTCCTATGGAAGTTATTATTCGAGGGGTAGTACTATACGATGCAAGCATCACTATACAAGTGATAGAGATGCCCTTTCACACAACTTGCCACGAAAACCCGCCGCATAAGGTTAGAAGAATTTGCACCCAAGTGCATCCACACTCCTTCCTGCCTTTGCTCATACACATCCATGACCGCTGGGAAAACCTTTACCCCCCCAGTCTCGCCAAAAGCCCTTGAACGAGATGAGAAACTCCAATGATAGAGATCTTTCGACCCCACCAAAGTTCGATCCACTCACCGAAAATACACCTCACTTGAGCGTCACAGCATAACCCCCTCCCCCTGCTTGTGGTAGCGGTAGCGGTGGTGCTTGGTGGTGAACATGTCAGAACATGACACGCAAGCCAGAACTCACACGATTGGGAGGAAAAAAAGGTTAGAGTTTCGAATAGACATATCTAGCCACGTTCACTCGGGAAAAGCGGGGTTTCCCCTTGACCGAGATTAACCATGATAATATTATTATGATGTGGGGCGGGGTAGGTAGGTATTGCTCGATTGTGGTTTGTGTAGTGCCCCCCCCCCACTCCCTTCCACGGGCAAAGGGGACAAATCTCATTTCAAGGAGAACTTTCTTCTTCTTCGTTGAATGACTTGTAGGGTACAATACCATTTCTAACCCTGTGATTGTTGTGACCTCCTTTGGGAGGGAGTGGATAACGGGGGGAAAGGGGGGGGGGGGCAGTTGGTTCTGGTCCGGTTTGGTTTGGTGGAATATGCTCTTATACTTCGTATTTGAAATGATTCATATGGTATGCATACTTCGTATAGCGAGGGGGGGAAGAAAGGAGCTGAATACCCAATACCAATAATCGGGGGTTTTTTTTTTCACCGGTTCGATTCTACCGTAACAGCTTTTGAGATTTTATAAAAATACAATAATATTATCAAGTTTAACAAACAAACAAACAATATTTCGTGACCAGAAATCTTGCTAGGGATACCGATTCGCTGCCTATCCGACATGCAGCCTAGTACTACTCTCGAGTACAGTTCTCAATGGGTTACAAGGATCGAGTATACGATAATCGGTTTTCTGCACAAGTAGGATTCCAGTAGCAGCAGCTGTATACATGAGAAACGTGGTCCAGGGAGGATCTCTACCTCCTCTTGTCTTAGTAAGCTCTGGGCAAATACAATGAATGGATGGATCAGGTTGGTCAGGTCTCCAATTCGATACATCTATCGAGAAGAACAAAAAAAGAAAGGAAGGAAAAAAACACTCATTCTCTCGTTGGGACAATTGATGGCTTGTGTTTTCAGATGAACTGGTTACAGTGTATCATACCAAAATCAGTATTAGCAGCCTACTTCGTACAGTACCACTTTTTTTATGCATGGTCCTCGTACGAGTAACTCTAGTACGGTACCCGTATCTCCGTATCTGGCACAAAGTATCCGAAAATGTGACATGGTTTCTTTCTTTCTTTTTCTTTCTTTCTTTCTTGGGCTGGTAGGATTGGTTGATAACAACGGCTGTATTTTCAGATAAAACCCATTTTCCAGATACAAGTACCGTTACCATTGGCCATATTCCCGCATTCAGCTAGATAACTGACTGACTGGCTGGCCAGTTGACCCTGTCGAACCGGCCGGATATTCCTCCTCCTCCTATCACTTATCTGACTCTACTCCCTCCCCCCCTGCCTTGCCTCTGATCGACCGACCTACGATGCAGAAAGCACATCTTTCCGTCGATCAAACCTCGTGGCAGTCGCTCTTCCCCTCCCTCCCTCCCTCCCTCCCTCCCCCGCGTTTCAAATTGGGCGAACGACTGCAAGTCATGGCAAGGATATATATACAGTACTCGGGCATTGGTCGAAAAAGGGTGGAAAACTTTGTGGGTGGCGAAGCAGGGATTATGTTGATCGATCGATAAAAACACCATGGGAGGAAATACAGCCCATTGTGGAAAGTTGGAAACCGGGAGCGGTTTGCATTGCTGCTTACTTTCCTGCTCCGGAGATGAGAATTGGGGGTTCTGAAGGAAGGCTGGGGTTCGTAAAGCAATCTCTGTGCTGGGCCAAATTTCGTGATTCTTACGCTCACACTTACCCAAGCATCCCCCTCCTATATGCAAGATGGTTCACCCAGTATCCAGTCCAGGTCGTTCATGTCAACCAGGCCTTGTTTTTTCCCCCACCGATATTGACCAGCTGCTCATTACCCCATAGAATCTTGCCGATCCTTTTTTCCCGCCCTTTATGACTATACCCGGGTATTACACACTCATACGAGTACAAGTAGTGCCCAGAAAGTTGGTAAACAGCTAATTCTGACCAGCCCACAGAATAATCCCAGCCTTGCACCGTACGAGTACTGGAGAACATCTCCCGCGGCACCTGTACTGTGCCTGCCACGTTTCAGAAGCACCGCCCGGCACCCATGTGAAGTAACGAAAAGCGCTAGGTCTTACCGGGTGGATGGAGTGGAGGAGTACTAGTATGGCAAGTCGTGATACCAGGGTTCCCCATTTTCCATCCACCTCTTTACGTGTTCTGAGTGGAAGGATGGAGAAAGTGGGTGGGTAAGTGGGACACTTTCCCATAGGACGGAATTGAGTACCATAGTGCTGGACTGAATTGAGAAGATTAGATAGTCGGATGGATAAGGCTAGGTGTTTGTCGTGTCCGTCGAAACAATTGGATTATGACATGGCGAGATACGGTCTGACATGCAATCCTGAAGTCCAGTATGATATTGGCCCCTGACACGACCCCATGTTTTTGGAATCAGGATGTTAGGTGGGGTGGTGGGGGCTGCGATAACTGAGGAAGCGATGTGATTTCATCGTGATGGTGGTGGAAGGGAAAGTGGCACTGGACAATAAACCTGTAACTCTTGAAATTAGTTGGTTATAAAAGTAAAGATATGATATTTTCTTTTTCTCCTCCTCCTGCGCACAGCCAAAAGGACCTCGCTCCCTGGAAGGGAGAGGAGGGACGAAGGCGGAG